GTCAAAAAAACCTTCAACATTTTACATTTAAAAATATAAATCTTAGACAATCTCTATGCGAATAAAAAGATTCCAATACCAATCTAAATCACACCTAAATACGATAAAAATAGAAATCAAAATACCAAAGCATCAGCCTTTCCCGCTTACCGGGACCGGGGTCGAAGTTAAGGTTAGCAATATCCAGGTACCGTACAGAAATAATGACATTGATAAAAACACTATAAATATATGTACATAAGATATATATTCGTCTGAAGTCTAGACTTGGTAATTGTTGTAGGCGGATGGTGGATATCAAATTCGAAGCTCATTGTTATCAGTTATTTAGTACATAGATTGGTATATAGGGTCTAATTGAGACTAATGGAACTGTCTTTCAATATAACGAGCGGGTTACTTTAAGCCTCTTTTGTTGGAATAGACTGGGTATTTTATTAAAAACAGAATAGAAGTTGATCCTATTATGCTTAATCGTAGAGACCACCAGTCGTGGAGAACCTAACGGGTTACCGGGGCTCTGGCTCGACGTGCAGGAGAAGGAACGGAGTGGTTTTTAGTCAGTAAGAATCTGACACTCCCTCCCGCCTCACCCAGGCGGGAGCAGATATTCGATGATTTTCCCCTCTTAAAAAAAAAGTCCACCAAAACCTTATTGGAAAATGATGAAGACCACCTGTTTAAGATGACCCACTGACCAAACTTTAATAACTACTACAGGTTCAAGTAACCAAAATCTAAATAAGTTTCGTCATCATCGAATGTCTATTTAAGTTTTTAATTTTAGCTGTGTGCTTACTAAGTTACTAGACTAAAGACTTATTCATTTCTGAATTTCGAATTGAATTCTCTCTAAAAAAAAAGAACGATAAAAAAACAAAATACGGAACACACAACGGTTCTTTTCATAAAAAAAACGTTACACAACGCGTTTCGAATCCACATTGATATTCAAAAAGAGAATATTTTGAATATTTGACCATTGATGACTCTCAAAAACCAAACGTATGACGTAGAAGGAGTCCATTGAAAAACAATATTCGTCACAAAATGTTTCGAACAGTTTTTGACATAGAATCAATGAATGTCAAATAACCGCCATCATTAAAAATGCTGCAAAAGATGCAACGAGAAAATTAAATCGTGATACTAAGTTTTTTGATTTAAAACAACAATAATTTGGCAACTACAAACAATAACAATTCTTAGTTCTTGTTGCTTCAAATGGAAACCTAACTCAATAGGCACTATTTAGAATGTATTTCTAACTTATTTAGTTGTCTACGACGCTAAACTTACACAATTACAAAAGTATCACTGTCAATAATAATACTACGTTGTTTCCCGCCAAAATAAAACGTCAAACTAATAAACATAAGCAAACCATAAACTCAATCGATTTCTAGAATCAATAAAATTCAAATAACGAACGAGAAAAAAAATTAAAGCGTTGATACGAGGTACGTTAGCAATTAAATTACAAAATAAGTAAATCGAGATCGACAAAGACAAGATAGGTCGAAGCGAGGGCGATTGCAGTGTGCATACATAACATATGAGCAGTTGTATGCTCATCCGTATTCAAGGGCGAGCAGACCGCTTGCAGCCAACACAGAACGATCATGATGCAGGTGACGTAATCACGTAATTCAACGATGAAAAGCAGTTGTTTGCTGAAAGAATTGGGCTCGTTGATAGAAAAAATGTATGTTTCTGAATGGAATTTGTACCATATTCAGGCATCAAATCTAGTTTTTGAATACCAAACCTACCTCTGACGAAATCAACTGTTGGGCAATTTATTAATAACTTCATAGTCAGTAGTAAAGCATTTGACCAAGTCATAATAAATTCAGTAGGCACACAAAACACCATCTTCTTTCATAAAATTACAACCTCTGGTAAAATTTCGGTGAGTTATGAATACCTTACCTTCAATATTTCACGGGAAACGTTTTCCAGAAGACCATAAGATACTTCCATAAAGCAAATTAACTTTCTAATTCAAATTGTAATGGTCAATTAAATTGTTAAAATAACTAATGATGTAAAGACTGCATTATGATTATTATTTTATATAATGACAATTTGAGCATCCATAAAAGAAGAGAGCTAACGACCACGGGTAATCGAGGTCGGTCCAATTTAAAGGGCTTTGGTACCTTGAACCGTGGTAGCAGTTGTAAATTGACTACTATAAAAGTCAGTACCCATTACTGTGTGGTTTCCTTCTCAAGCTATTTGAACTTTTTGAAGGCGATCCTTTATTGATATTGTAGCTCTTATGTTATTGTTATCTTCTGTCTTAGTTGAAAGTCCAATTCATTGTATGGCTGGTCTAATGGTTACAGTTGTTCTGCCTGATGCTTAGCTAAGAGCTGTTGTACTTTACCCTCTGTAACACGACTTCAAATATGATGCACTATGTTGAGAGCTTGTTGCATTTCGTTGGCTTCAGTCTACGTTACACGTGTTTGTCATCAGTATGCACTTTCTAGTTTGTAAATTAAATTGTGTGTTAATAGATAAATAACTTAATAATTTTCGTGTAGCTCTTAACTGAAGCTTGCCATTTTAACGCACATTCAGCAATCAAGATTAGAATTTCATGCGCAACAGCTTATATCATGGTCACTTTTCCGTTTTAATATTTGCAATTTGCAATGTACCGTCTATTTTATATATGATATCTTCTCAATGTTCCTTAATACAATTTTTATCAATGAAAGACCAAGAATAATAGATACCAACTCACTCGCTCGCGCCTTTTTATTCACATCACCATTTCTTAAACATTACTTTTGAATTCTAAAAATAAGTAAAAAATCTAAAATGTTCACCATTCCAGAGGCTTCCGAGTGATAGATACAATTATCATATTCAGCTGTGACCTCCAGTCCAGTGAATTAAACGTTCTTGTCGCAAAAACTACGTATGGGTGTTGCTTATAAAATCAAAACAATTATTTGCATGTTCGACTCCCCTTGAAATGCCTCTGGTTCTTGGAAACTTTGATACGATTATATATTGAAAAAGATGTATGAATGGTCGAAATGTCCTGTTGCTCAAGTTAGGAGAACGTTTTCGGATTGACACCTGGATTTCTTTAGAAAAGTTTAGGGGAAATATAGATATTCTTGGAATCTGTAAATATAGGCTATGACTGAGACTCTGTTCTTTTTTTATATTAGATGGGACTTACGGTTGACCTCTATCTCGCCTGTTGGTAAGCAATGATGTGGCCTACGATGGAGCACGTCGACCCATAAGCAACCTATTCACTCGGGTCTTTCAGGCCAGGTTACCCTTCAGGAAATACAGACTCTGGCAAAGAATTCCGCTCCTTAGCAGTAAACTCAAGGAAGCTTGATGCGAAGCGCTTCGTGCGTGTAGGTTGGACATCTACCATGAATCGGTGACGCTTCGCCGATTGTCTTGTGGTACGATGATGGAAAGGACTAGAGGGAATTAAGTTGTGCAATCAAGTTAATACATTTCGGTGAGTGTGTGGGGGCACACACGAAATGTATCCGGTAGAAGACTGGAAGGCTTGCAACCTTACGGCTGTGTTCGAGGCTTTGAAGCCGCCTCTCGATGATCTCTAATGCGTCCAGATAATATTTTGCCGAATCTGTACCCACGTCTTTGATTTCCAAGGTTTAAAGAAACGACTATAAATATGCAATAGTCTTAAATCATAACTTAAGCTGCACTCCTTGATCTCATCGCGAAAGACATAAGAAAAAGTATCAGGATATTACAAATACTGACGGAGGGAAAATTGGAATAAAATTCATTGCTATATTTAAACCAATTGCAATCTAGAGTTGAATTTTAAAATTGAAATAGGTTGATTCATTGCCACGTCAATAACCGCGCTTACAGCCCTACGGAGTAATCAAGTATAAATCATTTTGCAATCATTTCTGTGGAATATTTTACGTACTCCTGATTTAGTGCTACTACCTAAATCAAAATATGTAAATGTTGAGTAGCAGTTTTATTTAGTACGTGTCCAACTAGCATCGATCAATCGACGTCGCCCATACAACCGTGGTCTACCAATCAATCACCGCTTTACATTCCTGATTGATTGCCAATATCTACTAGTGCGAATTGTAAACCTAGATATATTTTCACTTGCGTTATTTATAGTACATTTGACAATAACAAAATAATTTAAGCAATGAGCAATCGAATTCAGAGAATGTATATTTTCCTCTTCATTCATATATATGTAAAATCCTTATTATTACATTTACCTAATTTAATTCTGACAAAACATTGAATAAATGACGTTTAATTGAGGTAAATAAATGAATTAGTCGCAAAAGATTAAAATAACTTAGAAAGAAAACCGTTTATCATTTTCATCGCGCACCAAAACGTGCTGAAAAACCGATGAAAGCAAACCGTAAAGAAGTCAAATAAAAAGCAAGATAATCCGCGTAAATAATTCCATTTGAATGGATGTTGTTTTGTATAAATATATTCTGCGCTGTCAACGTCACAAAGAGCTGAAAGGATTGCATGCTCATCGCACGATAAAACGTCCAAACAAACTCAAAGTACAGTTCGAACTAAAATTTCCACCTTTAAAATATTCGTCATAACCTTAAATTGTCGCAAACACTGCTAGAAGAAGTAAAAGTCCTTCGGAGCTCACAAACCATTGTTAGGACAGAGCACAATAGAGCTCTCGAAGGAACTGTTTACTTCTATTCTATTCTGGAGAATCAATTCCAGAGTGCTATAATAATCCCCCTTTGGGAATCATTGAGCTATGTGCAGCCACTCTGCAGTTATTCTCTGAGGGACACTATTGTTGCGGTGCAGAATTCCACAGTATTTGTAGCTGACTATACTTTCGTTATGGTTTAAGTACTCCTTAGGTTGCTATAGAAGTTCTTTGGTAAAAACAAGAGAATATCACAATATTCTATACCACAATACAAGCAACACAGACAGCATAATTAAACTTATTTTAATTTTTGTTACAGGTATGCATTTTGAAGTTGATTTTCCAAAGAACGTAACAGAAACCAATGAAGGTAAGCAAAACGAAGTACTCACAGTAAAAGAAAATGTCGCTTTTGATGCAGCATTCGATAATAACGATGCTTGTGATGCTACAACCACAATAATAAATGTGGATAACGATATTACACCACCTCATTATGGAAATATAGTCAACTCAATAACAAAGAAGAATAATCCGAGTTGCATAGAGTTAAAAATTGCTATACTTGTGTCTAATACTAAGCCGCAAAACGCAGTGAAATCTTAGTAGAAAGTGTCGTGGTTAGCCACTAGGTACGCCCTCTTATTTAAACTAGGCATCTGCAAACTCAGTTGGTATTACTTTCCAATTGCACCCAAGTATTGCAATTGCTGCATACGTAATTCCGTAATTTACTGAAACAAATTGACAGACAATTATATTTTGCGTAATTTTTGAGGAAGACAAGTTTCGTCGTCTGCATTGGCGTTGTCTACATTGCTATTTAGTCCCGCTTAGGCATTTATTTCATTGATGATTACATGACTAAGTTCTACCATAACCTATACCAACGTTTCTACTTCGGCACTAAATATAATCGCACATAATTACAAGAGGTGACTAATTGCTACAGGACGCATTGTTTGGCGGTCACGCGTCGTCGCGCCGCCAGAGGGCGCGGTATTATGCGACACAATAGTTGCAGCAGATGCGCCCTCTATTGTGGACTGACCTTATCTCGAAACCTCATCACAATGTCACGCTATACTATAGTTATACTTTAAAAATGAATTACTTGCCTTCGTTTAAGGTAAGTATACACTTGACCGAATTAGTTGTTTGGACGCTTGACCAAATGCCGTGACCAGAGTCATTGAACTAGTGATTAGTAATGATTGAGCACCATTAGGCCTTCCAAACAAAAATTAAGTTAACTCGATCCATTAAACACGACCGAAAAGCGGAATTCGTTTAAGAAGAGCCGACAAGAGCCCATTGAATTTAATTAAAAGCTAATTCGCTGTGTACAAGGTAGATTTTGTGTAACATTAAATTTTCAAATAACGTACCTAAGACCAATCAGAGTCGAGGGAATTTTAGGTTGATCGTGATTGGGTACCCTATCAAGATACCGCACATGCTTGCCACCGTTACGACTATAAAGGGAATCTTAGTCCTACACGGTTGAACTGCCTGTATGACGTCACCGTAAAATGGCCTCATTTAAATTTTGTCACAGCTATCAACGTATTTCGCGGTCCCTCTCTACTGTGTCAGGTAATGACGGTAATGACAGTGTCATTACTAAAACTCGTGTTGCAACTCTACTGAAAGTTATTGTGTGGGTACCTACATAGGTAGGTACGTATTCAATTTTGTCATTAAAACCTCTTGATGCAATAACAATGCTTGCTTCGTTTGTTATGAAAACAATCGTTAGTTTTGTAACTTTATTTCAAAAAGGCTTTTGTCAAAAAGTTCGTTTGCATTTAGCTCTGACTCTGAATACGTGACAATTTGTTAAACAATGAAACATTTTTGAGCCAGAAAAGAACTGCACCCATTGTGCAATTCACAGTTCAAAGAAATTTACAAAAAGAGAGATAAATAACAAATTGATAAGTTAACATATTAAAGTTATATTAGCAACAGATCAAGTTAAAGATAACCAAAAACTCAATGAAGATGAATGCAAAAACAAAAACTATAAAGAAAATAGGTCCATTTGTTTGTTAGCGCATTCAAACATCTATTTTAGTTAAACGTGTGAGCAACAGTGTGATTGCCACTGGCCAATGAGTAATGGTCGGTGTACTGATGAGATCACTTTCGACGGTGCTAATTCTAAGCCAACAACTAAGTCGATACACTTTGTTGCTGGAGCGGCCATTTGCCAAGCTCATTGCGTTTGGGCACTTGACAAATAGTCACTAGTCAAATTTAATACTTACTTTTATATCGAATTGTTTAAAACAACAGCCTTATTTGAAAGTAACGATCTCGTACTTTCAAAGATTGTATTGTGACGTCATGTTTTTGAATCTATTATCATACTTATTTCTTTAAAAAAATCTAAAATTAAGTATACTTAAGTAATTTAAATCATTTTAAAATTAAGTACAAAATATAACATCACGCCTTTTATCCCCGAAGGGATAAGAAATGTAACACCCAGTTTTCACAATTTTATGTTTTGAGTCCCATGTAAGTAGGGGGTGAGCCTATTGCCATATACCGAGGCAGTACGATTAAGTACATTGTATTGAAAAGTTGCAACAACTTATTTTAAACTTAGGAAAGAACCCAATTGTACCCGTTTGTTTGAACTTGCTACCTAGGTGAAAGCACTATTAGACAAGCCACAATAGTAAGTCTCCAATCTCCATCGTCTTGGTAACAGGTGTGTCGAATTATGAATGAGATGAAGTTTCGCACTTTCAAATCCAAGTGCATTCAGTCAAATTAATATCGGTGAATTAAATTGTCTTGTCGAGATTGCATTGATTAAATTCGATATAGACAAATTTTGAGCACGTTAAAGATATTGCAGATTAAAATACCAATCTAACTTACTGTTAATTTGAGTATTTTACGTAGTGATTGTAGTAGTCAGTAAATTGCCATTCATTTACGTGTTTCGAAACTACTGAAATAATTATCGAACGTATAACTATTACTACAGTTTATACTTAAAAAAAATATATACTACATGCACCTAAACTTACTAATTACGAGAATACAAAAAATAACCCAATATTTATCATACAAACATACTACTAGCGCCATCTCTTACAAAACAGTGGAACTCGGTCGTATCGCTACGTCATGTCGACATTGACCGCTAGATGGGGGCACTGGTACATGGAACGGGTGACGCGCGCGGTTAACGAACGTTCTTGACTGAGCACTCCGAGTTCGTTCGACGCCACGCTGCGGCCGCCGTGACACAACACAACACAACAGTAGCTTCGAGCGTGGTCTTATGTGGCGCAACCATGCCCAGAAACAATAACAATACATTAACTTCAATTTTGCGTTTAAATCTTTTATTTATTTAACAAAATAACCGTGTATTTTACCAGATCGTTAAGTAATTTCAGTTTTCAAATTGAATTATTGTTTAAGATTTTCCCTAATATAATGAAATTATAATGATTTCTTAGCTATTGTAAAAAATAAACATTGAAATTAACTTGCTTATCACGAACTGCATACACTTGAACTTTTTTATTTTAATGTTATCAAACGTCAACAGATGGCGTTGTCCGAACACAACTTGACTTGTATGGAAAAAAGTAGGTATACGTACAGTCATCGAATTTAAAAGTCTGAACATTACTTTTGTTTTACGAAAACAAGCACGAGCACAAGACAAAGTTTGCATTGAAATAAAATTAACACCTTAGGAGTCATGAAAAGATTCATGATATTCGAACCTACCAAATCGGTCTTTCGTCCGGAACGACATTGAATCGTAAAAATAATAATAAAAAAACACAAGACGTGAGTACTTAGGAATTTTTATGTGCTGACCACGAAGGGACAACGTATCGAGGAGTGATCCTCCCAAATCTTATAATCTTGTTTTGAATCAATTTGGCTCCGACCTGTTTATTTTACTTTTTACGCTCTTTGGCAGAATACGATAACGATTAAGTAGGTGTATATCAAACTATTTAACGAAGACCTTTTTATACCTATCTTACTGGCACAAAATAAATAGCGCGTTTTTGTAAATAAAAGAAAATATTCAAATATCGAACAACATGTCACATTTTGATTGAAATTCAAATTTATTGTTATGTACTTTGTCTTTGTTTTAAACAAAAGTAAGTTGGTATGCATTTATTTCATCATCATTTAACAGGCTGTGACCTTCCATCGCTGGACTATCGGTCTCCTCTGTATGAGAGATATTGCCGTAATCTCCACGCTTGAGATTGCAATTCAAGGTTGTGACAACCAATAGAAAATTGTTGAGTCCAATCCTCCACTAATGTCGCTCGGTCATCGGTGACCCCCATAGCGTTTAATGTGTTAAAAACCCATGTTTTCCTTGGTCGACAAACTCTAAGAAAGAGTACCTACACCTGGTAGGAAATACACTTCAATCTATCATCTTCATACAGTACGACACGATTAAAAAAATGACATAAATAAATATACTTAAATAAGATATTTGATGTCTGCGGTCCATGCGCCAAACACCCTGTATTCATATTGTTTTTATACATAACCCAATATTACAATTGGGATGATGACAGGGGTAAAAATGATAGATTTTTTCATTACCTAACTGACGGACTAATGATTTCAAATAGTCTACCAGACGAACATTAAAATAAAAATTAGGCATCTACCCTATTTACACGCCACTGTTATATATTAGGTATTACCTACCAAAGATAATTAATTTCTTCTGCGGTCAACCATAAAAAGAAATAAATATTCAAAGTAAATTATTGTTAAATGCCTTACACAGTACTTTGCTTACAGATAACCGTGATTGAAGAATGGCGCTAATTTCATATTGAAGTTTTTTAAATGTCTAGATATTTTATACATAAACTTATTTAATAAGTGTTTTTAATGTCTTACGTTCTATAAATGATTATCTTTATTAACTATTTTACTTATTTATTAAATACTAGCTAACCTCTCCAACTACCGCCTAATTTTTTTTCTCACAAGCGGTCACCTGTTACCGCTCTTCACTATCTACATTATACACCTTATTTCCAATATTTAGAGACTACATTTGTGTGAACAAATTTAGGGGATGATATTTAACAATTTTCAACGGGTTTTGGACTTCCACGTACATTTCAAGACCAATGTTAGCAAAATCGATTTAACCGTTCTCGAGTTGTAACGAGACTAACGAACGGAAATTCATTTTTATTTATATATATAGAAGATGTACACACATACAACATAAATGACCACACATAATATATAAAATTTAAGTAGATACCACCTATTCTTATTGGAATTTCTTCATGTGGAAAACATTTCTTTCACTGATCATATTTTTATCAAATTTTATTTAACACTAGCTACGTCCGCGCGGTTTCACTCGCTCTGCTCGGCGCCTATTAATCGTAGCGTAATATTTTATAGCCTATAGCCTTCCTCGATAAATAGGCTATCTGACATAGAAAGAATTCTGCAAATCAGACTAATAGTTTCGGAGATTAGCGCGTTCAAACAAACAAACAAAAAAAACAAACTCTACAGCTTTATAATATTAGATCATATAATATTAAACTGAACTAAAACACCGCGAG